CTAACTTCTCGATGTTTGTGTGATATTGAAGCCACGCATATTCCATACGAAAAAGATGTCATAACTTCTGGGTGGAAGCTTTGTTGGAGTTGGTGGTATGTCTTGACGCTTTAAGTCCTTTAGAACGACCCGCACTTGCTTACTGAGTTTGAAACTGGTGTTGTTCCGTAACCGAACATTTTTGATTGTTTCCCTCTGTTTAATTCTCAATTTCTTCCCTTCTGCTAGCATCTCACCTTCTTCTATCTCATCCTCCTCATTATTCTCCACCTCTTATGTTTCCTCATTCGCAAGTGCACTAAAGCGCGAAGGCGATTTACAACCTCTCCGTCATCATAACCCTCGTCCCCTTCTTCTACAATTCTCGCTACTTGACGATGTAGAGCTTGGAGACTTCAAACCTACCAGAGCCCAATCAAGCTTAGGTTCCTTAATTCCTGCATCATCTTTAGACGTATCCCCACTCACAAAATCCTTTCTAGTTTACCATCCCCTGTCATATCAATTCCCAGCGCTAGAGGCAATTCTTCAAGCTCTAGGAGAAGATCACTACCACATTGCGATTGGAACTTAAGTCATAACGCACCTTTCCATCACCATTTATCTCCACTTCAGTATTCTCTGCAACCTCCACAATTTCCTTATCATTTTGAAGGATTTGGATTTTTTTGGAAGTACAATTTGGTCCTTTATGACCCCAAGCATTGCATACATTGCATTTTGGAGGTAACCAGGGATAGCTCACATCAGCCACCACCTTCACACCTTCATTATCCAAGAAACTGATTTTCTCCACAAGTGGTTTTTGAAGATCAACCTCAACAAGAACCCTAGCCACATCATGTCGTATGAATTTCTCAGTATTCGGATGCAGCTTGACAAAATGGCCAGTCTATCGAGTCAGAAAACTTCACGGCCTTGTGGGAGAACATTGAACTAGGAATGCCTTTGAGATCAATCCACATTGGCATCACTGATAGGTTAGGAGGCTGTAGGGAAGTTTTGGGAGTCCACTCGTTCACCACCAGGGGAATATCCACAATATGCCAATATCGACGCGAGTCACATGAGACCTTATCTAAGGGTTTTCAATTTGGAATAGAACAGTATTCTTTTCGAGGAACTGCACATCACTTTTACTACCCATCTTCGAGGATGACCAAATGCGATTCAACGTAGCGTGAATGGTACCCACATGAGGCACATAACCGATGAAATACCCTACGACATAACTTTGCCTAAGAGGGTTTGGATCCGCCAGAATCTCATCGGGAATCAAAATCGAGACCACACCATCTACAGCCTCAGAAGGTGGCGGTGGCTCAGTCAAAGGGGACTTAGACCAGGGAGATCGATCTCCAGCAAGAGGAGGACAGCCATCTTCGAGACGACCATCTTTCGGGGAGGATTGGGAGTCGCTTTCTTGATCGGTTAGGGTACCCGGCATCCCAGATTTTTATTTTGAAAAGTTAGTTTCCTTTTTTTTTACAAAAAAACATCAATTTTATTCTGCAAGGGAACTGCAAGTGATCCCTCGCAGATCCATCACAAAATCACGAACAAATTTAAGCCGTCACAATTCTATGTGAGATTTGCGAAGGATCGATTTCAATTCCCAAGAAATTTTTCGATGGAAATAAATCTTATGCAAAATTACGATGGAAATAAATCTTATGCAAAATTGCAATTGATTTTCCAGGGATCCCTTGCAATATCCTCAAAAATCCCTTTTTGCGGTACTAGGATGGTTTGGGGCTTCGTCAAAAATTTTGGTTTTGAATAACACATTTAATAGAAACATTTATTGTTTAACATGTTCGAATTGTCAACAAAAAAAATTCAAAATTGTGATCAACCATGGTTATGAAATCAACTCTGGACACTTGAACTAATATTTCGAATTAATTGACATCAAAACCTTATAACCTATACAGTCAATATACGTTAACTAAATTGCCAGAAAGTTTTTAACATATTTTCACGGTACATAACATATATAATTGAATTGGTGCAAGCGCATAAGCAAATTTTATTAATCCAAAAAAACATTTTTTATTTTATACTATATATAATTTAAATTTAGATGATATTAATTCATGTATATAGTATATTTTTAATATTGATATCTATTAAATGATATTTTCTGCTCATATGGTTTTTGATCATTTGTATCTCTTATAATAACAACTTTAAATCACGCAAATCTATCATTGTGGGATGTTTATTAGTTTTAGTAATATTTTTAAAAGAAAACTCAATGAAAAATTGAAAATTAAATATTAGGTTGTCAGTATTTGTTCAAAGATTTATCAAAAATAATAATTTCAAAGCACATTTTGAAATTAGAATATTTATTTATTTTATATGTTAATATTTTAATTTGATGCTATTAATATATATATATCTTTTAATCTTAATAATTATCAAACATATAACATATAGGAAACTTCTAATTTTTTATTATATGATTAATGTGGTTGTTTAATTTTATTTTCTTATTTTAATTCAACAAAAATAATAGAAAATATACTATTTTTTATCAAAATCTTTATTATTTAAAATCATTAATTTTCAGAAAAGCTACATTAGGTAATTCCGTAGTTTTTATTTATAGAAATAAAGAATAATTTTAATAATTAATTTATGGTTAGTTTAATAAAAATCTTATTATATATTTATATGAACCAAACTATTTTTTTTAAGAATTCTAAGTGTCATTGTGGTGATGACACATAGCTATCTCAAATGTTGTAATGTTTCTCAAATAATATATAAGGAATATAAGGCATAATTTTAGTCAAAAAGAGAAAAAATATATTGGGGAACCAAGGGCCACTTATATACACTATTCTTTAGGTTTGTGACCACTTTAAACTAAAGACCTGTCATGTCCTTCATTCCGCGGTTACCAAAAAAGGAGCCCATAGAATGCTTTCTAAAATCGAACCAAGTAACCAAATTACTAAAGTAAACTAGGATAAGACATGCGCCTTGCGCAGGGTGAATATACGTAATTAAAATATAAAATTTTAGTATTGATAAATTTAAAATTTACAGATAATTTTTTTATGTATTTGAAATTTTACAATTTTGGAATTTTTAAATAATTATCTATACGTAGGATCATAAACAATTGTAATTAGAACTGTAGATCAAATCTTATAATTTAGTGGACCCGATTTCATATATCTTTTTACTTTTTAGTGTTCGAGTGATGAAAAATAAACATAGTGTCATTGGGCTTGATTGGTAGAGTATTAGCAAATTTCCTAATGTTTTTCTAAGAAGCAGTAGGTAAAATAATTGCATTTAAAATATATAAAGTTTCAAAACTAATTTAATATAATTTATTTATTTGTATAATAATATTAGAAAACTATATTTTTAAAAAAATTATTATTTTTAAAATAATTTTATAAAAAATTAAGTTAAATTTTAAATTATTTTTAAAAACAATATTTTAAGTTTTTCAAATATAAAAAAGAATTTAAAATTAATTATGGTCATGATTTAACATAACCATAATGATTTTAAAAATTAAAAAATTAACAAATAAAAAATTAACTCAGTTTTATATAATGATTGAACAATTTAAAAATTAATTATGGTTATGAGAAGTTTACGTTCACGTGTTAATCCTATTTATCTTCAATTTTTTCTCTTGTTGTTTTTTTTATATTTTGGTTATTACTCGATATAAATATTGATTTTGAAGTTTATTCTCATTTCGTTTATTTGTTTTGACCTAAGATTTATTAAATACTTATGATTTAAAATAATTAAAAAGATACATACTTAGGTTAAGATCTGCATTTTATGCACAATGAGTATTTTATATTTATAATTTATTTTATAATATTCTGCATATCATAAATAATAAAATAATAAATATATATATATTACATAACTAAGAAATCAGTCACTATTATGTAATAAATTGACCTATGCATATAAATTTAACTATCACTCTTGTTTATTCGTAATTAGCGTAAATAAATCAAAATAATCAATCTTATATTTTGTATATGATATATAATTAAATTTAAATGATATAAACATAGTAATATGACACACTTTTAATATTGATATTTATTAAATGAGGTTTCTACTCATATGATTTTATGATTATTTGCATAATTGTGTAACAAAACTTTACACCAACGATTTTTTTTTAATGTGAGATGTTTAGTAGTTTCAATAATTTATAATCATTTAAAAGAAAAACAATGACATATTTCAAAATTAAAATATTAAATTTTCAATATATGTTGAAGACAAATATCAAAATATAAGTATGTATTTTCATACGATTTATAGTTTAATTAAAACGATATGAAATATTTATATAAACTAAAATTATTTCTTCATATGGTCTTATAATCATTATATTTTATTATAGAAAAAAATTAAAATCTTGATCTTAAAAGTTTATGTGAGACTTTTAACAGTTTTAGTAATTTATACTCATTTTCAAAAATTCGAAATACAACATACACAAAAAAAAATCTAGATTTTTATTATATGATTAATGTAATTGTGTAATTTATTTTAATAATAAATAAATAAACAAAATGAGAAAAAATATACAGATTGTTATCAAATCTTTATTGTTTAAAATCATTAATTGTCATATATATTTTATTCACATTAGGTAATTCCGTAGGTTTTATTTAAGGAAAGCATGCGAAACAATAAATATTTGATATATGCGCAACTATAGTCTACTAAATATTATATTGCTAGAGAATACAATTTTTAGACTATACATTATATCACATGCTCTAGAATCCTTGGGATTTGAAATAGAAGCCAAAGAGCTATGCCACATAGGACTGGGGTTATTTTTAATTCTTACAAACTTAACGTTACAACTTTTTAAATGATTCTCAAATAATATATAGGGGATACTCGATTATCATTTTCATATTATTTCTCTCTTAGATATCAATATTTCGCAAAACGGCAGAAGAAATTACAACTTAAGCACATAGTGAAACATGTTGCATGGAAAGTATATAAAGTTACCAAACTTATTTATCATTCATATATTAATTCGAAAATAGATCAATCTCTGGAGAATTTTCACTTCAACCCCTGCATCTGTAGTACTTGGGATGGCCACGGTGATACTTGTTTGACGGAGGAGGCAAGACTCTTCCTCCACCACTAGACGCTGCCGGCGGCGTATCATGTTTGAGAGCTCCATAGTTGAGATACTTCACCTTACTTGTTAGCATCGTACTAGATGAAATCACCATACCTTCAGTGTCTTCATTATCTTCTTCTTTTATCGTCATTTTGTTCACCTCTTCCTCTCTCGAACCATCCTCTTCATCACTCTCATATCGTTCTTTCACCCACGTGTTCTTAACGTGATGCTTTCCGGATGCACGTTCTTCATCGTTTTCGGTAAACCCTTGAGAAAATGTGTAGTATTCCATGCTTGATGAGCTTTATTACTTTGAATTGTATATTTATTTGGTTGGGGTTACATCCATTATTTATAGAGGAAGATATTGGTTTGTAACTTGTTATGCCTAATGGAATCTCATTTACTTTCATAGAAGGATAATTATTTCGATATAAAACAAAATGATTGTTTCCTTTTTCAAAATGGGTATTCGAACAAAAACTTTAAAGCCGTCAATATAAGTTGGAGGATAAAATATGATGCGCCATATTATAGATAATTATGCCTTTACTATGTATTCATTAATTGTAATTCTTTCTAAGCCGTCAACATTTAAAAGATAATTTTATATTTATTTACTGACTTGAATTCTTTTGCTAAAGTCTTCAATGTTTTAAAAGATAAGTTATTATATTTTTATTTATTCACTAAATATAATGAAGATTATATATAAGTTATTATATATTTATTTACTGCCATATTCTAGTTATATATTTATTCACTAAATATAATGAAGATTAGTTTTACAATGACGTTTCACATTGTTTATACTGGCATACCTATCTTAAATATAATTTGTATGATTCTTAATCTTTTCTCCTTTACAACTGGGTGACATATAAACATTAGTCCAAACATAACCAAATAAAAGCTTGTCATTGTTCTCATTACAAAGTTTTACATTAGGACAAATAATTATCTATCTTTATATAATGAAGGAATCTAGTTACGTATTGTAATCAGTAAAGACTATGTATACTATATACGGTTACCGGCTTACGACATGCAGTCATTTTTGCACTTGTTCTCTCTTAGAATCTTATTCCAAAATATGCTAGTGGGACGATGACTTACGATTCTAAGAAGTAGCCGCCCTTTGCGTTTACATAGCTGATATCTTAAGCAACGGTCCATGTTCAACGGTAGAAAACCAAAAGAAACAACTGCGGTAAAATGAACGAAGTTTTAAAAAGTCTAAGAAATAAATATACATAAAATAAATATTGGAAATTTTAAACGATATTATAAAGCAGAATAATAACTGGCAAAATTACCAACTATCGATAATTCTTCGAATAAACAAACCAATTTTCATAGATTGAATTATGGTGATTTGTTCTTTTAGTGGTTAGTGATAAATATTTTTTTTTCATTTTTCTTAATTTAGGAGTAAATTGCATGTGAATTTTGAAATTTAAATTGTCGGCGATTTAGGACACGAAAACATATTTATTTATTTGGACTAAGTTTGTTTTATTGTCTGTTTAAAATTGAATGTTATGTTTCATATGAATTTAATATACGCAGTAGTTATTTTTTTGATTTACTATATATTCCCAAATCTTGATTTCTGTGTAACTATTTTTTTTGTTGTGAATCATTTCTTTATCTATTAACGTGTTTTTCTCATCACATCTGTTATTGTATTTGGTGTAATGTTATATGGGATTCGTTTAGGAAGAGATAGTTTTTTTTTGGACGTTATGCATCTATCTTATTAAAGAGCAGTACAAAAACAAAATACCACTAAAACTTACAACTTTTTTTACAAATCAATATCACTGAAACATTAAATAATCCTAATTTTAAATAATCTTGTATTTTATAATTATTACATAATTTCTTAAAATAATTATAATTAACAAAGAATTAGGCAACAAGAAAAGAAAACATACATTATATTTATTTAATAGGTTTCAACACAGTCATAATAAACAGAGTATTCTAACTTTAAAGAAAAAAATTGGGCTAAAATCCCACCTTTTATTATTTTGTATATTTTCCTATAAATAGAATTCTAATGTAAATTCAATATTACAAATGGGGAATATTATAAAGTTTATAGAAACATATTTCAAATAGTATATAAAATACTTTTATACATTATAATATAATTTTGATCCATAAAAAATAAAATAAAACACATTTGTACGTATATTGATGCGGCCGTTAAACCAGTAGCTGAACTGGAGGTCAATCCAACACTTTACCAGACCAGCCAAAGCGCTTACAGGACACATGCACACCAACAATGCCATATATTTCAAACCAGGAGGTTTTTAACCATGAAACCAATTTTTATGGATTCTACACTCAAGACGGAGTCCATCCCAACTGGAAATATCTCAAAAGCTATCTGGAGAAAGAAGATATCAGTTTTACAAACCAGAGGTTCTACAACCCATCCATCTGCGAGTATTAGGCTTTAGAAGGAGATTCCAACCCAACCATGAAGCGGCTTTCTACAGAATTAATCATGGGCTTCAATAGGGATTTATCAGCTTTCCAGAAAGCCCAAAATCAGAAATATTTGTCAAGGAAATCAGAAGTTATGATTAATTTTCCAGAACCGGCCAAACCGATGCCATCTAAGGAAAGTCTTCAGCCAATTAAGTTTGGTTCGACCCAGAGCTATTTATGGAGACCAGGAGATCATGTTAGCCAATCAGGAGACATTCCAGGAGTTATTAGCTGCACCAGGAGCCAGAGGATCAGACGGATCCTTGAAAGAGTTATCAAACCAAACCTAAGCTATTTATGGAAAGATTGGACAATCTTTCGGTTTAGTCATTTCCAAGCCAATCAATTCCGACCAGAAGATATCCAAACTAAACCAAGGCGTCCAAAAGACATCATAGGAGACAATGAAGAGTTCTACACGATCATACCATGTACCAACCATTATAGGATCAGGAAGATCCCCATTAACACCAAGCTGCCTTATTTGGAGTTCTTTGAAATAAAGCTCCAACAGCTCTTTTCTCTACAGATCAGGCACAACCTCAGCACCTTACAGACCATCAAGAAGATTCCCAGGAAGCTCACTTACCCCCTTAAACCGTCCAGATACAAGGAGAACCCCATCTACATTCATTTGGCCAAGATTCTCACCATTAAGCCTCCAACGGCTAGTTTTCAAGGAGCCATCAACTCCTTTGCTTTCAAGTTTATTATTTCAAATTTATTTGTTTCCTTTTATGATTTTATGACTGTTAGAGTCTTCCATGGTCGAGCCTATATAAGCTCAAGTCATTTGTCTTTGTAGACCACCCTTGAATTTTATGAAAAGATTATTCAGTTTTCTAGTTTTCTTAAAACTATTGTTCTAACTCTTTTGAGTGTTGTGAGAAGCATCTCTTGACCAACCAGTCTTATCAAAGTCTCCTTTCACAGAGCTTTGTGGTGTCTACAATCCATCACGTCCATCATCCCATCATATTGAGAGATTCAATCAAACCTTGATCCGCAAATCCACTTCAATCCATCTCTTGATAAAGTTGAGAGCGACTTCAGTCCAGCTGCTTGATTCCACCATATCTATCCCTTTATCTTTGTTTATTTACTCTGATTTATTCATATCATCATCAGCATCTAATCACATTTCCATTATTCTAGGTTGTATAATTGAATTCAGACCATATCGGCCAATATATCACACATTTGGTTGATCCGGTTAGAACCTCATAACCAATTTGGATGACCCCCATTCTGGGCTGTATCATTTGGTATCAGAGCTCAAAGCAAATGTTACAGCCCCGGAAGCTAGGATGGTGAGATGATCGATGAAATGGTGGTTATCGAGAAACCGGTAGAGATGGAGTTGGGTGATGAATGAGTTTCTGTCCTCCTCGTCCAAGATAACCTGAAATAAAAGAAGAACAATGAGATGACGAATGATAAAAATAACACAGAAATAAAATAAAGAGGTAAGATAGAATGGAATGGATTGATGGATAAGTTTGATGATGGTTGGAAGGAAGATGATGATGGATAGATGGTGATTGACTCTCTCAATCCGTGGGGGTTGATTGACTCTCAATCTGTGTCTCAAAGCTCCTGAAATCTGGTGATATCTATCCTTGCACCTTCTTGCTTGCATTTGTTTTATCATCTTAAATTAAAAAAAAATATTGTTTGCATTTTTTTTTTCTGTTTATTTCTGAATTGCTTGTTCTTGGTGTTAAAACCAGAGATAGGCACGAAAGAGATAACCATTTGCTTGTTTGATTCATTTAGAAAACTCAAAAAAATCTGCATACCATAAAGTTTCTTGTTTGAATCTTTCATTTAAAAAATAAAATAAAAAGGCATATCATTTTTTCGTGCATAACATGTTTTCTTTTGCATTTTGAACTTGCATACAGAAAACCAAAAGAAAGAAAAAAATCATTTTGCATAATTTATTTCTTTTCAGTTCAAGTGACATATTTTTCTCGGTTTAGTTTTAAATAGTTTGCATTTGGTTGCTTATTTTTGGTTCGACCAGAACTTCCCTATCCTTCACTCGCTCTTTGAGATTGATTTCAGGAAGCCATGGAAGGAGAAGCACACGGCCAAACCCTAAGGGCTACACTAAGCCAACAGTCCGTAGCTTTACAAAAGCTCCAAAAACAGATTGCCCAATTGGAGAAAAAAATAAAGCACTGGTCCAACAACCATAGCATGAAGAAAGAAGATTTTTAGATGCACCAGAGGCTGTTTATGTCGAGCCCAAGCCACCAGATCCTTCAAGGATCCACCAGAAACATACTTCTAAAACCCACAGCCATCATTGTGATAATTCTCGGTTTGATTCTAGTTTTGTTGCTGATAAAGTTAAACTCTTTACATTTTCAGGAAAAAGAGGATATCTGAGATGGGAGAGGAACCTTGATGAATGGTTTCACTTCAATAACATCCTGAAAAAGAGAGGCTAGCTTATGCTATTGATCAACTTAGAGAAGAAGCATTTAAATGGTGGATAAGAGAAGAAGATGATAGATGGTTTTACAAGGAGCCAACTATCAAAACATGGAGAGCCCTTAAAAAAGTCATGATAGCTGAGTGTGCACCAGGTTTTAAAAGTTCTGAGATCCTAGAACTCTTTCCAAGGAGGTATCCAACTCATGGTTCTAAAGAGGTAAAGAGAGATGTACCACAAGAAGGCCATAGAACCTTGATCCATCAAGACCAGATCCGGCCAAACCAGAGGGCCAAGGTTTTCAGTGATCATTACCAACTTTATGAGACCCCAAAGGCCATAGAGAAGAA